TCTGTCTGTCTGTCTGTCTGTCTGTCTGTCTGTCTGTCTGTCTGTCTGTCTGTCTGTCTGTCTGTCTGTCTTATAGCAAAACCCCTTTATTGGAGCTCACTAGGTCTAATGTGCTTTATGTGTTTTTTTTTCTTCCTTTTATCAACTCCTTCATGATTGATGAAAGCACTTTTGGAGTAATCTGGTTCCATTTTTTCTGTCGATAACAGCATTTATTCTGTTTTGAGTCCCAATTACTTAAAAAATTACTCAGTGTTTAACAGTGACATATCCACAAAACCAGATACAATTTGTAAGGTGCCAAATGTATTTCACATCAATAAAGTGGACACACAAGCCAGAATGAAATGAAAGTACAGTAAACAAAGTGTGTGTTTTACCTCATAGACATTGAACTGGTTCTGCCCCCGAGACAGCTCTCTGTAGCTTGTGGTGAACTCTCCGATGAAGTCATGGCTGCAGACATTAAACGTGAGTTCCCATTCACATGATTGAGCAGGAGAAAACATTTTACAAATGAAGAGAAGCTTATTTTCTTCATCGTTAACTCAGACTTTGCCATGCAGATGTTCACTATATTCTGAAATATTCAATTTCCTTGCTAATATAAATTTGCCATTCTGAAAATCTTTAAATATTTGAAAAAAAAAATAAAAAAATACACATGTGGCATTTAATTTCTTTCTAGCAATTAGGAGGGATAAACGTGAATCATCAGGCTTTAGAGTGTGCTGATTGACAAATGCTTTTACCTTCCATCTCGGTCCCAGTCAAACACGTCTACTTTTACAGTCCTAAAAAAGGAAAAGAATTAAACCTGAGAACAAAAAGAAACTTTTGTCTGTGAAAATTCTGCTAACCACATCTAACCACTGCTGTCAGTTAAAAAGAACAACAGGTTCTGGTTTTAAAGAGAGAACAAAAAATTCTACATCATTGTGAGCGCAGATGAAAAAATTACACATTCACTGAATAAATGATGAAAGGAGAGTAAGCGCTGGTTATTACAAGCCAGAGAGAGAAAAACATTATATACAGATAGCATAGAATACTGAAGAAATATCTTTAAATTATCATATATTACCACAAACATTATTCTAGCCTCAGGTTAACGGTCAGATGTAGAGATATTTGTTTCGTTGATATGAACAGCACTTTATTTTGCAGCTAAAAAATCATTAGCATACAGAGCAGGTAGAATACTGTAACATAAATCTCTCCCTGTAAATATTTATAGCCCTTAGTGTCTCCTCTGGGTGTTGAGTAAATTACCTTACTGAGGATATAATGTTAGAAAAAGAAAGAATGCAACCATGGTACATTTTTAGGAAAAACTTTCAATGTATTAGTTTTCAAATGTTTACTAGCTACCAAATAAAAAGGGAAAGAAACAAAAAGCCCTAAACAAAGAAATATAATGTCACCAAAGCAGGAGTTGGACTCATTTTTCCCCTTGAAACAGATCCAAGTTTAAGGATTTTTTGGACATGTAAAGGGCTGAAAGTATAAAAAACCTTTGAGTTAAATGTCATTATTCATTGTTTTGTTTTTTTATGTTGTCCTCCTCTGACTGTTAATATTGTGTTTGTTTGTTTTGAATATTACTATATTTTCAATTTAAAACTTTAGTGTTGGTCTTCATTCACCTCCCAGGCTCCATTACGAACCAGTCTTCTGATGCTACTAACCGTTCATAGTATTGTGAAGCTGAACAATAGCATTAAACTACACTTTATTCTGCTTTCCCTGCCTCCTTGTTCAAACATCATCATCTAACCCAGCATAGCACAAGACAGGTATGACTAATTTAAAGCACTGTTCAGAAAATTATATAAATATATATATATTTTTTTTCTTAGTGTTCATTTAAATATATTTGTGTGATACCTTAGTATACATCTGATTGATTTTTGGTAATCGGCTACCTTAAGTTATAGCCCCCCCGGAGAAAACTCCACCATCAGCCACTGTTTTCGATATATCTACTTTATGAAGGGGTCACACTAGGAGTGATTTAAAAATTCTGATAAAATAAGTGATTAAAAAAAAAAATAGGTGAATCAAATTCCTGCAACCCTAACCTAGCTTTGGAGACATTATATTTCACCTTTCTAGCAAGTCGGAAGCTAGAACTTGTCANGCAGATGAAAAAATTACACATTCACTGAATAAATGATGAAAGGAGAGTAAGCGCTGGTTATTACAAGCCAGAGAGAGAAAAACATTATATACAGATAGCATAGAATACTGAAGAAATATCTTTAAATTATCATATATTACCACAAACATTATTCTAGCCTCAGGTTAACGGTCAGATGTAGAGATATTTGTTTCGTTGATATGAACAGCACTTTATTTTGCAGCTAAAAAATCATTAGCATACAGAGCAGGTAGAATACTGTAACATAAATCTCTCCCTGTAAATATTTATAGCCCTTAGTGTCTCCTCTGGGTGTTGAGTAAATTACCTTACTGAGGATATAATGTTAGAAAAAGAAAGAATGCAACCATGGTACATTTTTAGGAAAAACTTTCAATGTATTAGTTTTCAAATGTTTACTAGCTACCAAATAAAAAGGGAAAGAAACAAAAAGTCCTAAACAAAGAAATATAATGTCACCAAAGCAGGAGTTGGACTCATTTTTCCCCTTGAAACAGATCCAAGTTTAAGGATTTTTTGGACATGTAAAGGGCTGAAAGTATAAAAAACCTTTAAGTTAAATGTCATTATTCATTGTTGGTTTTTTATGTTGTCCTCCTCTGACTGTTAATATTGTGTTTGTTTGTTTTGAATATTACTATATTTTCAATTTAAAACTTTAGTGTTGGTCTTCATTCACCTCCCAGGCTCCATTACGAACCAGTCTTCTGATGCTACTAACCGTTCATAGTATTGTGAAGCTGAACAATAGCATTAAACTACACTTTATTCTGCTTTCCCTGCCTCCTTGTTCAGATATCTTCATCTAACCCAGCATAGCTTAAGACAGGTATGACTAATTTAAAGCACTGTTCAGAAAATTATATAAATATATATATATTTTTTTTCTTAGTGTTCATTTAAATATATTTGTGTGATACCTTAGTATACATCTGATTGATTTTTGGTAATCGGCTACCTTAAGTTATAGCCCCCCCGGAGAAAACTCCACCATCAGCCACTGTTTTCGATATATCTACTTTATGAAGGGGTCACACTAGGAGTGATTTAAAAATTCTGATAAAATAAGTGATTAAAAAAAAAAATAGGTGAATCAAATTCCTGCAACCCTAACCTAGCTTTGGAGACATTATATTTCACCTTTCTAGCAAGTCGGAAGCTAGAACTTGTCAGGGTGGATGATGAAACCTAGAATAGCTTGTTTAAACGGAAAGCAAAAAATAAAATAATGTCCTTTTTGTTCTACTGTATCGTCAGAGTTTTGACATATCTTTATGCAGATGTCTCAGTCTAGTTGTTTTCACTGTATGTATGATTAGATATTAATGAACAAACATGACCCATATGTTGAAATATGTAACTTTATCAAGGAGCTCTAATAAAGTGAAAGACTCTTCCATTCAACCAGTTTGAAGCACCTGTATGAAGCTTCATTTTGTTCTGCATGCAAAAATCTATGATCTGTGTGATAGCTGACTGTCACACATTAATTCATGTAGTGTTGTTCTATATCATGATTTTCATAACGGAATTTTTTTATTGTATTTACATATTTTTTTTCTACAAAAAGCAGCGTTCAGTTGTCTGATTCTTTGTTAAGCATGCAGTACTTTAACATGAAGGCCCGCACTAAAGGCAGAATATACAACACTTAACATTATACATGTTTTTGCTGTTAAAAAATGTGAGTTGATAATAAGTCCAATAATTAAAAAGTGGACCATGTGCTATAGAATGGACTATATGTAACACCAAGTGGCTATTCCACCAGTCAGCTCGGTTGGTGCTGATTTGGTATGTATAACAGACATCTGTGTGAACACTGAGTCAGTCTCAATAACACCAGTGCTGGTCCTTTGAACATCATGACCGACTGCTGGCATTATTCTGACCGCCTCAGCAAAGGACAATGTCAAACATTTAAAACTTGATTTTGAACTTTTTACATTTAATTAGATTTGTTAAAGATATGAGTGCATATTTCTTTACTATAAACTAACTACATTTCTCAAAATAGTTTATCTTGTGTCGTGTGGGATTGTAAAGATGTGCAAATATTTTTTCCAACCTGTCATAGTCACCGTTGCAGAGAGCTCTAACAGGGATAGTGAAGGGCTGCCACACCGGGTTCAGTGTATTCTTGATCACCTCCGTCTTGTGGCAGATAGTGAACCTGCCAGAACAAAAATTTGAGAAATGAAGCCCTTAAAACTTTTTTTTTTACATCTTTATTTCCCTCCGTTATTCCAAACAAAGAATTAAAACAGTTTTGTAGATGTAAAATAACTGATGTTATTACCGTATTAATAAAAACAAATTTATGGAAAAAAGTAACAACAAAAATACAAACACTGTGACAGGTAGTAAAAACTGAATAAGAAGAAACAGGCAGACGAGTCAATTTATGCCCAAAAAATAAACTGAGAATCAAATGTGATATTTGGTGTCACTGTGTGGTTCTCCAAAATGTAAAATCTCTGTTTTCCCAGAGCAATCAAGGCACGTCCCACATGGTTTTAAAACCCAGACTACGCATCACCAGTGTGGATGTTGAGGTTCAGTGCTTCCATCAGAGTTCCCTTTTAGTGATGGTGGTACTTTGGGATAATTGCCTGGAAAGGTCTCTAGCAACAGCCTTATCTCATGATCCGTAAAGTTGAATCCGCCTCAGCTTTTTAGTTAATAATGTTGAACTGAACACGCTGGACTATATGCATTTAGATATATGGAACACAAAACTCTCAATTGGATTTTACAGTGTTTGACTACTATGAGTATACAGCAAGTAAGTATTAAGCATATCACTGGTTTTCTCAGTATATTTTTTTATATATCTAGGTACATTAAACCTACAACAGAGGTAATCCAGTCAAACGCAGAAACCTAAACAGATAAGTCTATAAATTAGGCTATGTGTAATAAAGTGGAATGTGCAAGGAGCAGGGACCTTAGGTATGCAAAAATAATGTCAAAAGAGGTTCAGAGGCCAAATGTCAGATGGTTTAACATAACAAACATGAAAATGAGCTTAAATTAAACAAAACGAATTAGCCTATTTTTAAAATGTAAGGAGTATAAAGATGAGACAATTGTACAAAAAATTAAAGAGTTGAAGTAAAAATAGTCTAAAAAGAATTACTCTTGTAAAGTATAGATAGCCAAAGTTTCAACTTAATTAAGCAAATTAAGTATTTGTTCTTTATTACTTAACACCTCTTGTTATGAGTTTGTTGCAGAGAATTTTGAGAAACCAGGTTAAATGATGAAGACAAAGCTAAAGCTCTTAAATATTGCTGCACATACAGTACAATGTTTTCGGCACATTATCCCAAAAACATCATGCCAATAGAGAAGTACACTGCAAAAACAATCTAGAGATAAGTACACATTTCTTAAATTAAGTTTATTTACCCTTAATTTCAGTAGGTAAATAAGATAATTAGAAAAATGGAATTATTCATTTTTGGTCTCTTTTCTTAAAATGAGATAATCAGGTAATATGCACTACAAATATGACAATGCAATTGTTTTTTTCTTATTTTAAAAGTAATTGTCTCACCTCCTCAATTCTCGAAAAATGCAGTTATTTTAAGAAAACAACACTTATTAAGATTTCAATTTTTTTTGCAGTGTTTGTATGTACAAATATTGAGGTGTGGGCAATGACCCAGCAAAGTTTGAGCAGTTAAAGGATGGACGAATGGAAAAACGTACCCAGAAATGTTTTGTACAAATCTGAAGATAAAAACTGTTTGAATATGAATATTAACAATAATAATGAAAAGCAATGATGGACTGGTGGGTGCTTTCATTTGTATTGAAAAGAGAGTATGTGTAGTAATAGTGATCCTCTGAGTTACCAGAGCTTCAAGCATTAAGAACTGTAAATGAATGTGACCAGGAGGAGTCCATGTGCTACAGACAGACTGCATTACTGGTACTTCACAGAGTTTTAATAGAAGGTTTAATATTCCAACACTGGAATCACCCCCATGCACATTTTGGTCAGTGGGACAGAACCCCTGGAAAGGGATTCTGTCTCACTTTGGAGAAGCCCTAGGGATAAGCTAAACTTAAAAGCAGCCAACTAAAGCTTTGTGCTGGAGCTCTCCCTGTGAGTAAATAGAAAATTCCCTTTCTCCTCTTCTTTTGGACTCTGGAGTCATTCCCAAAGCACAACATATGAAAGCAAATCGCTTGGCAATCTAAACAAAAGCAAAACAGGGCCCATCTCAGACTCAGCTGTATTCGGTTTACGGGGAAACAGGGAGACCTGGACAGTTAGGTGAGTAGAAGGAACATTTCTAGGATCTCAATCTAGGCTCCATGTTTACATCAAACTTGTCGTTTAAAAGAAGAATTTGCTTGAAGTGTTTATTTCCTGACAGAATCTTTCAGAAATGTTTTGGGTGTTCTGCGAGATTCCTTGTTTGGTTCACATGTATGGAGGTGCTGTGGGATTAAAGGAATAAACACACACTAAGATGCATGTGAGACACATGATTTGCTGTTTTTACACATAATTGGACTGGTGCTGTTAGAGGTATGCAAATTCCTTGCAAATTGTTTCACATAAATATCTGTAATTGGTCAAAAAACAAACAAGGTTAGTACGTAACAGTTTCAGTGTAAGGAAGAAATATAATCCATTTGTTCAAATGTGAACAATTAGATTAACCAACATATCCTCACAATTTATACTTACGTTCCATCCTCATTACTGCGGTAAAACACCAGGAAGGGGTCAGACTTTCCAAAAAAGTCTTTCTTATCCAGTTTGTTGGCACACAACTGCATTGTGGCAATATCCTGAGAGAAAAGACAGAGCTTTTTAATATAATGCTTCTGATGCAAGTTATTTTCTAACAGAGCAACCTCTTCAAGATACTTTTTCACAATTAAAGCCAAAACTCTGTACAAAAGTTTAAAGAATTGTTTTTTAAAGTCCCTCTGGATGTACAGTAACTCACAGAGTAAAATAGGGCATCCATACTTAATTGACTGACTTATTGACTTTATTAATCTCATAGCGGAGAAATTAACTTACATCGTCTGAAATAGTCAAAAAGAAGAAGAAGGTGCCAAAGGAAGAAAATGTGCATGGGTGTATGTATACTGGTGATTTAAACAACAAGAAGCATCACTCTAAACACTTGTTTTGGATTGTTCCATAGAATCAGATAATGTATAGGAGAGAAAAATAAATCTTATTTGGCAATGTCTGCAATATATTCAAGGAGGCGGAGAGGGATCCCTTCATACATATGTATGAGTGGAAATAGCTGTTAATGAGGAGTCGTGTTTTTCCTGCTTCTGCACTGAGATGCCTGGGACAGCTGAGGCCGGAAGGAAGGAAGGAAGGAAGGAAGGAATTAAAGACAGATAAATAATTAGACCTTTTAGTTGATTTCTCCTGAGTGATGAGGGCATCATGGGAACCCAGGTTTGCCACTGACAGCAGTTGAATCTCGTTAGGAGCAAAAATCTCCCCGAGTACCAATGGTAAACACAGCTAAGATAAGCGAGTTCATATAATGATCTCATGAGCACACACATGCACCCACAGAAACAGCAATAGAAAGTCTCCAAGTAGCCGAGTGGCTGGCTGGAGTTAATACATAACTGTGTCAGGGAAACTGCAAAATTGGAGGAGAATATCGCCTCATAGCAGAAAAATCATCTTGACAGTTTATCTAAAACATATTTAGAGAAATGTGGTGAGCTTCATGCCAGTAAAACCTGATCTGTTTAACCTTGGATGGAGTAGGAGGTTTAGGGAATTCTACAATGAATTTCTGCACAGTGTTTATCTGGTTTGATCATGAAATATTAAGTCCTACGGTATGTTTGCATGTATTAGGTTGACTGAATGCATAAGGAGACAAATACAAACTATTAAATCAACTTCAATGCATATTCAGATAAAAATGCAGAATATTCAATCAGGATTTAGGATGTTTGTATGTGTGTGGGTGTGTTGATGTATGCGTTTGTGTGTACTGACCCTGCAGTTACTGAGCTCCTCCGCAGTCAAGATTATGACTCCACACTTCTTCCCTGGTATCCCGCTGAGAGCATAAAGAGAAAGAGGCCGAAAGATGTGGTAACTGTTTTTCTGCATGAATTATAAAAGTAGAAAACAGATGCCATTTATAGCTAAAAGCTATTATTTTGCCAACAGACAGCCCTGCATGCAGTTACTTGTTTCCCAGAAAAACTCACACTGGGACACACACTTACTCTGTTATTGGCAAGCCAATACTATAACTGGACTACAAGTGGAAATTAGGCAATAACCACACACAGCGTACAGTTTAATACAGAGAAAAATATATCTTGTTTAAAATGCTTTTTTATTCACAGTGTGGTATTAATCAGATTAAACACTTTAGGTCATTATTTTCAATGTTACAACACTAGAAATATCAGAAAGCTTAACTTCTGTCAAAGTCAAAAGATGCATATACATTTTTTGGTGTTTTATTTTTTTAGAATCGCTTCTTAAACTTTATGTTTTAGGAGTGATATAATGGGTGTGACATACAGCTTTCAATTTCTTTGGGGTTTAGATTACTGTACGTTTGCTTTAAATTTACTTTATTTTCCTCAGGCTACTAATTTTCAGAGTTGCTCTGAAATTAGTCCATTTAAAGGACCCCTTGGTGTCCAAGCTTTAACCTCCTGGCCAATATCAAGAGATGCTTCCATAATCTTTCGAATGGTTCTGGGCTATTTCAAGGTATGCGGATATGCACCTTTTTTTTTTCCATTTCTTCATGCAATAGGTCTATTTCCAGTCGCTTTAGACACAACTAAAAATTCCTCTAGTGTTCATAATCATTACAATTCTAAATTCCTGTTTTGGTCTCTTTTGTAAGAAAAAAAAAGGAGAAAGAGCTAAATCAATCCAATCCCAAATATGTCCTGACAGATACACATCAGCAGATGCAAAGAATGCGCTAGCGTGAGTTTTTGCTGGACCATCTGTCATTTGAAAATTCTTTCTTAAAGTTTAAGTCTAACAGACTTTTCAATATCGCTTAAAACTGTTTTACCTTTGTTCTGAAAAAGAGCCTCCACCACCTTCCTGCTTGGGGCTGAGCATCCCTATAAGTCTGATCCTAGAAATCCCCCCTATTAACATTATGTTTATCAACAGTCATTACACTATCTGACTTTGCTTTTAATTGCTCTGTAAATTACAGTTTTTATTGGCTCAAGATGAGTAAAGCTCACAGAGCTACACAAAAAAATACTTTTAATACATCCAGGAAGGATGACCAAACTTTTCAGAAATATATATATATAAAGTATTTAAATTTGTATTATATGCTTTTCCATGTCACAATCATACCCTATTTTGTGTTGTTTATGACTCAACAACTCAAGTAAAAAAGTAATAAGAACAAATAAAAAAGGATTAAAGTGTTTTAGGTATTTTTGCTAACCAGTGTACTTATCATACTGCTTCACCTTAATTTAACAGCAAACAAGACGCCTAAACCCTACTTCCTTGAGCACCCGATGGATGAGCATGGAAAGTACATACTGTTCTGTACCTTTCACAAAGAAAATGGCCTGAAAAAAGATTTATAGCAGTGCTGTCACTGATTAAAAAGGCATTTATTTTTAAAAACTTCTGTATTAAAAAGCCCTGCAAATAATATCCATACAAGTAGTGGTTAAAAACTCTAAAGGGGGATTTCAGTATTAAAAAATGGTAGATAAAGCAAATAATTAGCATTATGTTAAGATAATCTAACCAGATTTGAATTTCTGATGAGCATCTGATTGTAGAGCATTAATCCCAAACATGTATTTCTGATTAAATACAACAGCCTTTTGCTTAAAAAAATAAATAAATCAAAGAAAAACGTCCATCTGATGAAGTAAAAGACTTAGATGTAAATATATTTGAGAAATTGCAAATATGTTACCACTGCTTATACGCAACATATCAACACTGGTGGGGCACATTTTTCTAAGCTAAATGACTCATACAAAATAAAGTACAATACAACAAAATAAAGGTGTGCACTAATATGCATGAAAATTTTTTATATAAAGGTGTATTTATTTTCTACCAAGTGTTCAAGGCTAAATCACGATTATGTTTTTTTTTTTTTGTGCTTTACTTCTTTTGTTTTGATCCAATTTAATTGGCACTGCATGCAAAGCCTTAGATCTAAAAGAATGCGGAAAAAGTACAAGGTGACTAATCTGTCAAGGAGGAGAAGAAATTGGACAAAAACACAAAACTATCACCTAAAAAAAAACACGTGTACACCCTAAGAGCAGCCATAGGGGAAGGAGAAGTAGATGCATAATGGGAGCGAGTGGAGCAAAGTGAGAGAGGATAATTTCAAAGACACCAGGGCATAAAAGGGCCAAGGCTGAGTGCTTCTTCATTATTATTTTTAAAATGTAAGATGAGTGAAGACAGGAACAGAGAGTAAAATGAGCACAAAAAAAAGCTAGAGAAAAAAATAATTTTCCTATGAGGTATTTTCAACTCTGGCTTGACTTATCAGCAATTCATGCTGGGAAACTTTTTCAACCTCATGCCAGAACAATTGCAAGTACTCAAAAATAATTCTGTCAGTTGGGTGCAGTAAATAAGTAGGGTTGTGCCAGGAGACATTAAGGGCTGTGTCTGATTTAAAGGTTTCAAATTGATGCTAAACTAAAAGACTACTGTACCATTTTATGATAGGGTGTTTCAGTCATTAATAGCCTGAACTCCACTGTGTTTAATCCAAAATAAAAATACATATAAAGCGCTCATGTCTCATGTATAAAAGAGGGCAAAGTAATCATACTGAAAGTTTGCCGTGAGAAAAAATGGCAGCAGAAAATAATTCAAATCTACAAAGCCAAGTAACATGTAGCTGAACACTTTACTCTCATGCATCCAAAATGCATAAAAATATTCTTGAAATATTCTGCATACTACACATTTAAATCAGTATAAATATCCCTAAGCCACTGAAACATCTGTCCACATAACCAGAGAAACATTTATTTTAGGCCACCAAAGGGAAACTTTATTAACACACCTTAGTTAAAGGAATAGTACACCCAAAACATGATTAGCCTTCATTTTCTACTCACCCCCATGCTGAACAACACTCTGGAGTACTTTTTTTGATATCTCAAATGCATCTGGAGATCTGGGAGGCATAAGCGTCGTTAGACCTATTTAAGGGTGGCTTCAGTCACCCTTTCTTTGGCATTAGCCACCCTATAATTATTTTGC